GGCTCAGGCAATCCACTCACCTCAGCCGCCCAAAGTGTGGGATTACAGGCTGAGCCACCGAGCCCAGTCCTCAGCCTTCTGAGTAGCTGGAACTACATGTGTGCCACTATGCCTGACTATATTATTTCTTTTTTTGAGTCGGAGTCTCACTCTGTTGCCCAGGTTGGAGTGCAGTGGCACGCTCATGGCCACCACAGCCTTGACCTGCTGGGCTCAGCCAATCCTTCTGCCTCAGCCTTCCAGGTATCCGGAACTACAGGGACATGCCACAATGCCTGGCTCATTTTTTGATTTTTATTGTAGAAATGAGGTCTCACCAAGTGGCCCAGGTTGGTCCCAAACCCGTGGGCTCAGGCAATCCTCTCACATCGGCCTCCCAAAGTGCTGGGATTATAGGTGTGAGCCACCGCACCCAGCCTCTTGGCTACCTTTTACATATTTTGTAAAGACAGGTCCTCGCTTTGTTGTCCAGGCTGGTCTCAGACTCCTGGGCTCAGGCAATTCTCCCACCTCAGCCTCCCAAAGTGCTGGGATTACAGGCATGAGCCAGCGGCCCGGCCTCTCTGCCAGTTTTGACCCTATGTCAGACTCGGTCTCCAACCTGAGAGACTTAAGAGCTGATGATGTGGAGCGTGAGCTTTGGTTAACAGGGAGGTGGGGACAAACCGGGATGGGGTCACTGCTCAGGACACCGGGCTGCGCAGCCCAGAACCCACTTTCCACCCAAAGGACTCCTTCCCCCAGCTGAAGATTGCCAGCTGTCAGACAACCTGGGAATTCCCCTCCGCTGAAGAGAGCTGCCTGCCCAAGGTCACATGCCATGGGGGTGGGGGGCAGCTACCAATGGCGTCCGTGATGGGCCAATGCTGGCACAGAAGGTCCGGCCTCCTAGCCCCAACCCTGAAGGCCACCCCGGCTTCACCATCTCCTGTTGGATGGTTGAGGCCCTGTTGAAAGGACATGGCAGCTCCACCTCTTCCCCCCACCTCGACCTGTGTCTCTCATCAGGCGTTGATTCAGAGGGTGCCCCCAGGAAGCCTCCAGTTCGCTTCCCAGGGCCCCCAGCCTGGAACAGCCTTTGGGAGACCGTGTGTGTGTGTGTGTGTGTGTGTGTGTGTGTGTGTGTGTGTTCAAGCGTGTGTTTACATAGGGTGGGAGGCTAAGCTGAGCACAGGAGGTTGACTGCTCGCACACAGACTGCAAGGCCTTTATCTGAAGTCCATATCTGGCTGGGTGTGGTGGCTCACGCCTGTAATCCCAGCACTTTGGGAGGCTGAGGTTGGAGGATGGCTTGAGCCCAGGAGTTCAAGACCAGCCTGGGCAACATGGTGAGATCTCTATTTATAGAATATATATATATTTTGAGTTGGAGTCTCACTGTCACCCAGGCTGGAGTGCAGCAGCAGGCCCACAGACACTGCAGCCTCAACCTGCTGGGCTCAGCGATCCTTCCGCCTCAGCCTTCCAAGTAGCTGCAACTACAGGCGTGCTCCACCACTAATTTTTTTGATTCAGTGTAGAGACGAGGCCTTACCAGTCACCCAAGCTGGCCTGGAACCCGTGGGCTCAGGCAATCCTCTCACCTCCACCTCCCAAGGTGCTGGGGTGGCGGGCCTGGGCCACAGCACCCCGCTAGAATATATATTGTTTAGTGTCATTTTAAAAAACCGGCTTTCTAGACCAACTGCGCTCCACGCATGCCCCGCCTCTCCCGGGCGCGCCGCCAGCACCCACAGCTGAAACCAGCTTCCCAGGGGATTCGGGTGCAGGCGGAGAGGCAGCGGCCAGGGCTGCTCGCGGCCTGCGAGGGCCAAGCCACGTGGCCCGGGGGCGCCTCCGTCTTCTCCCCCGTGAAGCCCACCACCCCAACGGCGCCCACGCGCCAGGGCGAGGCGGCGCAG